AACCGATACAGAGCAGTCGTTTGGTAACATTTCGAATGACACAAGGCCCATAATGATCTAGTTAAAGTCTGTAAACTCCTCTTATTAGAGTATTTTTACTTTACGTTGACATGTGACTGAAAATCCTACAGACGGATGTATTCATAAACCTTTATTTAATACTTGAGTACCACCAAATGTTGTGGTTAGAGGAGAGGTATTGTGATAAATGTTGTTTTCAAGGCTTCGATATGTACTTGCAGTCTCTAATACAGTAATAGCTACTATTGCTGGGAGCCCCCGCAAAATTACTTTTCCTTTGTGAAGTTGTATCCCAGGTATGTTCTAACTGCTCTCAAATACTCCTAGATAGAACCACGGTTTTTTTCAACTTTTGACATGTGCCCGTGACGGAAAATCCGTCGACACCACTGGAAAGTAAATAGCGCTTTAATATTAGTAATTTTGCTCAGTTTGAAAGTGATACGTTTGAAACGTGCAAAGAATTCGAAAAAGCTCTCCAAAGTTGCGAGAATTTTACAGACGTTTGTATGCTAGTGGGAAAGTTTGTGCCACACAAACGGCTGTAGAATTTCGTGACTTTCAGAAGTTATTAAAAAAATAAAATAAATAACGATTTGGAGTTGGCACATCCACATAGTGGTACTTTGTCTACCTGATTTCTGGTCGCTATATCTTCGTTAGTTTTCAAGAAATTACTTTCAAACATGACGATATTATCAATTTCAAGGCGCTCTTTCCAGTGGTGTCGACGAGAAAAACATTTTCTTTAACTGGTCCACGGAACTAGAAAGTTGAAAACACCGTGGAAAGGTCCCTGATTCCTTTGTACATGTGATGGTTTCTCATTCTCCCCTCTGTTGGTTTCAGTAATGAATTAAGTCATCGATCACGCAATGGAGCATTTCATAAGCTATTTTAGCGTTGTCCAAAAATAAATGACGTCACGAAAGTAAGAAGTCGTGGAAACGATTGCATTAGCTCAGTTGCTTTTGGTAAAGATGAAAATTTTAAACGTTCTGCGAAAAAGATATAGCCGAAGGTCTGCCTAAACTGTAGCGAGAACAGCAAGAGTACTACTCAAAGAATGACAGCAGTTGCTAGACTAAACATCCTTTTATATCCTTTTTTTTTTTTTTTTTTTTTTTTTTTTTTTTTATTTGCTTTACTTAACCCAATAATTACAATATTGAACACTGCTTACACTGCTTACATTATTTACAACATTCATACCATACTTACAATACTGACAATACTTATTGCTTACATTGCTAACAATACTACTGTTTTCAAACATTATTACATTTCGTATGCTTCAAGTACACAGTTGCATCGGAAGAAGCTTATTTAAGGATAGTTGGCGTTATTGAGGCAGGATAAGCTACGGATGAAAGACATAGAGAATATCAGGGGGCGTTGGGAATAGCGCCATGGTAGAAACGATAGTTTCTACGTGATGTCGTGTAGGAATGACCATTGTTTGGGCAGAACATTGTTTGCTTCTGCTTGTGCTTGTATGTTGTAAATTGTCTTTAGGTGTTTGAGAAATCCTTGCAATAGAGGTATAGCTTCTTTTGTTTTGCAGAGCCAGATATAGTGCCTGGCAATAAGAAAAACAAAAGTTGATCTGGCGTTGAAATTTAGAAGAGTCTGATCTCAGGCCTAGTGAAACAGTCATGTCTGCAGAGTAACTATCGGGAATAATTTGGCAAAGTTTTAATCGCGTTATGATGCTCTCCCAGAAGAGCGCCGTTTTGGGGCAGGACCAGAAAAAAGGTGTACGAGTTTTTCTGGTTCTTTTTTACAAAAGGAGCAGTTGGAGTTTTCTTTTACTCTTATCTTAGTTAAGAAAGCGTTTGTTGGTATTCTTCTGTGCAGCAATTTAAATTGAAATTCCCTGAGTTTTATGCTTTTTGTGATTTTATGAGCTAGCTGGTAGGTCGCACCCACGTTATTTCGTTTTGACCTAAGTTGCAGTCTTGATTCATTTTTGCTGGCTTGTAGTAGGGGGGCACTTTTTCTTTGTAATTAATTTGTCATACACCAACTTGCTTGCTTTTTGGGCTTTCATTAGTTTTGTCGAAAAGCTTTCGTAACTATTACCTTCGTTTGTGTGGTCACCTTGGTTGAATGTGTTGCATAGCTTTTTAAGAGCAGAAATTATTCCACAGTATGCCAAGGGTTGGACCTTGATGTCGTATTTGTTTAAAAGTTCTGGTGGAGTGAGGAATTTTCCTTCTCTGTTCCTTAAGTGCTTAACTTTTGTGATGCCTTTACGATACCATTCTTTAAAGAAAATAGGGCTGTCGTTAATCCTTACAAGTGAGTTGTACCATATGCCTTGTTCTGAAAGCTGGCTCTCTGATGTTATCCTCTCTTCAAAATTGATTTCTGACCAGATTAGGAGAATTTCCTTTAAGAAACTGTCTTGCGTTTTGAAGATATTAGCTATGTCTATCTTATTAAGGTTGCTTGTGAAAGGTAGGGTACACTCAAACTTTTTCAGTTCAAGATCTAGAAAAAGTTTCCATTTACCCTGATTATCTGTATCCAGGTACTTTTTATCCAAGTGGTTTTTAGCGCTTTATTGAAAGATAGTATGTCAATCATTTTGAGGCCACCTGCTGGGTAATTGTTAATCATAATATCTCGCTTTATTTTATCGCCCTTTCCGTTCCAAAGGAACAAGTAAAAGAGCTTGTTAATCTCGCTAATTATTTTTTTGTTTGTGCACAAGGGTGCCAAGACGTACACAATTTGAGAAGCTACTAAGCTTTTCAGAACAGTGATCTTCCCACTTAAGGTTAATCTACGGTATTTCCAGTTGCTTAGAATATTGTTAATTTTTTCCAGTTTTTCCTTATAATTTAGAAGTACAGTGTTTTCAGGGTCTGTCGTAAACCAAACGCCTAAAGATTTTACTTTGTTTGTTTGCCATCTGAAATTTCTTTCTGGAAGAAGAATTTCTGTTTTTCCACTATATGTTCCGATCCAAATTGCTTCTGTTTTTTTACTGTTGAGTTTGAGACCCGAGGCTTCTCCAAAATCGTCGAGTGTGTTGAGAGCAGCTGAGAGCGACGTTTGTGAACCATTTAATATTAAGGTTGTATCGTCTGCGTATTGACTTATTTTAATTTCCTCTTGGTTAACGTGTATTCCTCTGATATTGCTGTTTCTTTTAAAAGCCTTGGCTAAGACTTCAACTGAAAGAACAAATAGATATGGAGACAACGGGCACCCCTGCCTGACCCCTCTTTCAATTTTAAAGAAATTGCTTGTCCAGCCGTTGTTTAAGAAGCAGCTCTCTATGTTGCTGTAAAGGCATTTGACCCAGTTTACAACACTTGGGCCGAAACCGAAGTATTGAAGAGAATTTATGATAAAAGGCCATTCAATCGTGTCAAAAGCCTTTTCGAAATCAAGAAATAATAATAGCCCTGGGATATTTTTTTTTTCTTTGGTAAAACGAATAACATAGTCTATTAATCGTATGTTCTCGCCAATAAACCTGCCTTTCATAAAGCCAGTTTGATCACAGCTGATGAGATCGGGAAGAACCTTTTTCAGCCTGTTAGCCACAGCCTTTGCTGCAATTTTGTAGTCGCAGTTGAGAAGAGTAAGCGGTCTCCAGTTTTTAATGAAATACGGCTCAGCGTCTTTCTTGGGAATGAGTTTGATTACTCCTCTTCTTTGTGTGATAGAAAGCTGACTCGTTTCGTGCGCATAATTAAGAGCGTTAATCAATAAGTTTGATATGTTTGTCCAAAATACTCTATAAAATTCTGCAGGTAGCCCATCAGATCCAGGGGTTTTTCCCCTGTTCCATGGTTTTCAGGGCTGCAAGGCATTCCCTTTCTGTTAGCAGGCCTTCACAGTTGTTCCGTTGTTCGTCATTCAGGACGGTGTCGTTTTCATGTTTAAAAAAATCATATGTGTCAATTAAATTGTGTATATTTCTGTTGGATGTATATAGATTCATAAAAAAAAGATTCCCCTTCTGCTAATATTTCCTGATCCGAAGTAATAAAGTTATTTTCGTCCACTTTAAGTTGGCTTATAATGCCTTGCTTATAGTGTCTCTTTTCTAGGTTGAGGAAATATTTCGTATTTTTTTCTCCTTCATTATGCCATTTAATTTTAGCTCTCAATATGGAACCTTTCGTACGAGTCTCAATAATTCTTTTCTAACTCACTCTTAAGATCATTCAGTTGTTCTGCAAGTTCAGAATTTTCTGTTACGCTAGAGTCTCCGTTCTCCATTTTCGATTCTAGTTTGGAAATTGCATGCTCTAGTTCTGCCTCACGGCCCTTTGTTTTCTTAGTTTTATTCATTGCGTATTGGAGCGATTTTTCCCGCATTTTAAGCTTAATCATGTCCCACAATAGAGCAGAGTTTACCATGTCATCGTTTTCATATTCGTCTTGAACTTCCTTAATCGTTGTCTTAATAAGATTAACATAAGCAGTTTCGGTTAAAAGAGAGGTATTTAATTTCCAAAGGCCGGGTCCTCTGCTATTTGCATGAAGAGACAGATCTAAAGTAATCATGGAATGGTCTGTTTTATATCCTGGCACTATATCGGTGTTAGTGACGTCCCCAATAACGCTTTGGCTTATTAAAAAGAAATCAAGTCTACAGTAAACCTTAGGTTGTCGTTGTCTCCAAGTGTACCTTTTGTCATCTGGATTGTGAATTCTCCAGACATCGAGAAGATCTAGGTTCTCTGAAATTTCTTGAACGGTCTTCAAGCTATTTTGGTGAGTTTTGGCAATGCCACCTTTTTTGTCATTTTCGATGTTAAGAACAAGGTTGAAGTCACCGCCAATTATTATGTCTTCACATTTAAAATTTAAAAGATGATGGCGGGAAATCGCAGCGGACGGACGTGTATTCATCGTGTCTGCCTAACATTGCCAAAGATGACCCCTCTCTGGCACCTACTCCTATGAAAATACACTATCTGGCTCCCTGACGATGTACTCTACCTTCTTCAATGTAAATGCCTCCCAGAAAGAATAAAAGAGGTGATCGTGGCTCAACCGAAGACGAACCAAGAAATCCGAAGAAATCCAACATGGCGGCCGAGGAAAACATTGATGTTGAAGAATCGATTGAAGCGGGCAAGGAACAAGAAGAGCCTAGCCTTCTTGAAATCAAGGCTCTACTGGTCGACATACAAATCCAAATAGCTGCAGTTCTTAGCGAAAATCGAACGCTGAAGAAGGAAATCGAAGAATTAAAAGAATCTGCCAACTTCTACGAGAAGGAGCTTAAAGATTTGAAAGAGTCCTTGCAAAAGACCAAGGACGAATACAAAGAATTAAAACACATGCTAGCCTCAACAAGGAACGAGCTTAAAACAACAAAGGAGAATCTAGGAAAGCAAAAAGAAGAATCCGATCGACTGTGGGAACACCATGATGATTTGGAACAATACACTCGAAAGAACTCGCTGGAAATCCATGGAATTCCAGAAGATGCGTATCCCAGTACGGAGGCCGCGGTCATCAAGGTTGCTGAAGCCCCTAAATATCACCATAGAGCCTGAAGAAATAGAGATTTCACACAAACTGAATCGGGGCAAATCCATTATAGTGAAATTTTGCAATCATAAAGTGAAATCGAAACTTTACAAAGAACGCACCAAACTAAAGGATGTCAAAATCAAAGATCTATTTCCCAGCTACCCTTCAAATGCACAGGAACGACAACGTATTTTTATAAACGAGAACCTCACGGCTTATAGGCGTAGAATCATGAAAGAAGCGAACAAGAGAAGACAAGAGGGTACTCTACTCAGTGTTTGGTCTTTGGATGGTAAGATTTTTGTTAAGACATCACCCTATGGCTCCCCTGTTAGAATTTTTTCCGAAGAGGACTTAGATCAATTATAAACTGAACAGGCAAAATAATCTACGTTAAGTCTGGAGAGGGACGTCTTATCAACCATTCAAATTTCTCGCTGCCAAAGTAATTTAATTTTACTAACTACAAATTTGTCTATGCTCTGTTTTTTGTTTTTCCGCTACTCTTTTTTATTTATTCAAAGTGTTATTTTGTTTAATTTACCTTTTGTGATCATTTGCTTCAGTCTAATATTATATGCACGTTTTAGTCTTCATTATTTGTTTAAAATATCGAGTACCTTTTGCATCAATCATTTTACACCTAATAGAAAGAATGCAAATCCTTTATTGAGGCGCACATGTTTTTTTCCCGTCGAGACAACGTTTATTACAAAAGACTTGAACAAATCGTGACTTTGAAAATAACTTCATTGAATGTCAGGGGACTTAGGGATGACGCTAAAAGAAGAGAAGTATTTAATTGGCTTCGCGCCAAAAGGCCATCAATATGCATGCTCCAAGAAGTACACTGTATAGAAAAAAACAAATCACTTGTGGAAAGCAGAATGGGGCTATCAAGCTTACTTCACCTCTTTTGAAAGCAACAAAGCAGGGGTATGTATTCTTTTTAACAATAATTTTAACCTTCAGCTCCAAAGACTTTACACCGACCCTGCAGGGAGATTTATTATCTGTGACTTAAAAGCTAACGAAAAGCTTTTGACCCTCGCTAACATCTATGCTCCCAACGAGGATAAACCTTCATTCTTTCTATCCTTTTATATCCTGCTGCAACCTCGTTCCCAGGGTTTTCTTCTACCTGTCCCTCTCTCGCTCTGTAGGGACGGATAGGAGAGAACTCTGGGAACGAGGTTGATCCTGCTGAATTTGCCGAGGAACAGACAGATTAAGACGAAAACTGGTCCTCGTGCTCAGGCCTCACCGGCTAACGGAACAGGAGGCTCTGGGGACGAGGATGGGCTGCCCTCTGGTCCTCTTTCTCGTCCTCCTTCCGGTACCGCTTCAGGAACGTTGTCGCGTTATGATAAAACGAGCCAGTTGGCTTTTTTTTAATCAATATTATTTGTCATTAAAGGCAGGAGCAAGAGGGTCACCAGTTAACGTGTCCTTCGGACAGGAAAGTCCTGGAACAAAACAAGGTACTACTACACGAATCAGTAGGAACTGGTTTAAGATGTCACCACTGCGACGGCAACGAGAACGTCAAAAAAGCGAAAGGCTTAGGCAATGTTCACACTATACTGGATCGGATTTGTGTCGGCACGAAAACCATACTGGATAGGGCTTCTGTTCATACACGGTTGTGGCGGCGCGATTTCTGTGACGGAGAGAAGATGCGCTCCGCCGATCTCTAAAGTGGAGTCAATTATATATCGGATAGGTGTTCATGCTCCGGATAGCGTTTCGTGTCAGCGCGAAAATCTATCCAGTATCTGGTGGGATGAACATAGCCTTACATTAACAAAACAACAACTTTTCAAGTGTATCACACTTTTTGTACATTTTTTACCGTCACTGCACGATTCAGCGACGTGAAACTTCCTAATTTCCCATTTAATGACAACGCCAACATACAACGACCAGGAGAACGACTCCTGACAACGACAAATTTATCTTTCTCTTTTTTAAATTGGAAAAGAGAGTTCGCCTTCATTCACGGAGTGAGCGAGTCTTTTTTAAAGTGATGTTTTCGCCACCGTTGAAATCGTTGTGAACTCCCTAATTCTTGATACCAGCAAAAGAGCTCAACTTTGATCACAAAAAATACAGAATAAACAATCAAAAACTGATTTTATGAATGAATATTTTTCTTACTTTTCTTCCATGTTTACTTTTTAGGACATATTCCCTGACAAACTAGCCGAAAGAAAGATTTTGTCACATGTCATCAAGTGTCCCAGTGAGTGCTGTGAGTGGACTGGTGAGCTGAGGGAGAAAGAGGTAGGGATCATTGTTCACCTTGTAACTCCTCCCTCCTCCCTCGCGCGCGGTCTCGCGCCCTCAATTCCTTTCCCCTTCCCTTTCTAACGCTTTCCACGCAGGCTAATCCACGAGTAACAACTGATTAACAAACATGAAAATAGGAAATGTGCAAACTATTACGGACACAAGATTCTCTCTAAAACCCTTTTGTACATAATAACAAAAACAGTTCGGTTAATTACATTCGCAGTTCTCGCAGGCAAGTATCACGAGAAATACAACCGTAGATAAAAGGGTAGTTGCTGGGTATTCTGAAGTTTAGCCGATAAAAGATTTCCCAGCTCTAAATTAATTAAGGGAGAGGGATGATGCATTTTTTATGGTCTGTCGTCTGATTATTTTATTAGAACCACTTGACCTCTTGTCCTTGGAAAATTGTTTCTTGCACCTACGAAAAATGTGGAGAAAACGTAACCAGAAAGGATCTGACTGAACACGTGGCCGACATGTGCGTATGGAGAATTTTGAGGTGTCTGCATTGTGCAGAACATCATCCACAATGCCAAATGGAGGTAAAAGCAAATTGCTGGATCAGTTCTTGTTGTATGTTTTGAGAGCCATAAGACGGTAATTAACTTCAATGGGGAACAAAAGAACTTGGGACTGTGTGAAAAATCCCTTCCTGGTTTTAATGACAATTTTTTCATCGGCTTTGGGTTCATCGCGTCGTCCCCCACTTCCCCTAGCAATTTTGTGGCCAAAAAAAGAACTCATTTTCACCCATGGTGCTCAAAATTCAAGTTTGTTTAGGGTGGGATGGGAGGGGTCGCTAGTTTTACTAATATTACTAGGAAGGTCCCAACCCTTTTGACCTCAATTGTAGACAACTTGTATGGTCGGAATTTAAAACAGAATATTTTAAAACGCGCTAATTTTCATTTCAACGCCTTCACCTCACATATTGCAAGAGACGATTTGTGATTCAAAATATCGTAATTGATCGACGTTTATACCTGGGTTAATTCTTCAAAGCCAAATTTGGAAGATGTTTGCAATGATTTGATAATTGACGTTGATAATGTAATGATAAGACAATTATCCACGATTGCCGTGCGCGAGACGGCAGCGTAGAAGTTTGGTTGTTTCATGACAATTTTACGTTTACGGTCAACGTGTGTTTTTGTTGAAGATACTCGATAAACTCAATTTTTTTTAAAAAAATCGACTAACTAACCTGTAATGAAGCACCGATTGGAATAAAAGGTGTCAGAAGTTGTCTGTGGTTGTTGTTGTTTTTTTTTTTTTTTTGGTATTTTTCGCTAAGTTTACTGAAAGATTACAGGCCTTTTAATAAAATGTAACTTCTCGCAATACCCCACACTTCCACCCAACCTACATTTGTTTACTCACACGAGTTTGGATCAGTTATGTAGCGACCTGACATACCCTTGGTAGTTTCATTATTTTTTTACATCAGTTTCGTGTACTTAAAACGTCTGTGTTTCAAAAGTCACTTTCCCGTACTATTTTATTCAGTTTTTACTTCTTTTTGTTCTTTGTCTTGACAGGCACATTTAGAAAATTGCGAAGGTCTCCTTACTGCCTGTCCAAACAACTGCGGGATTAAAATTGCAAGTGACAAGGTGATGCCATTAAATCAGTTTCGTTTTCTCACCTTAGTGTCATTTTCAGCCTTAGATATTAAAATCTCTAATACTGATTCCACAGTTAATGATATTATAAGTGTGAAGTTTTATGTGAATCGCCTCTTTGTCCCTGCATGAAAATCGTGAGGATCACGATCAATTAGGTTTTCTTCACTCCAAAGATTGTGGTGGCCTTTCCTGTGGGCGCGCTCTAAAAAGGCAGAGCGGGACTGGGTGCGGGCCGATCTGTTATTTCCGTGATCCTTTTCGATTCTGTCCTTTGTGAGTCTATTGCTCTCCAATTAACTCTTAACCACCATCTAGATCTCCAAGAACTCTTTAAACCACGTCATCTTTTTTAGTCAAGTTACCAGCGTCTTTAGGGCGCACTATCTGTGAATAAGTGTAGTCTCGGATTTAGAACCATGCGCACACCTTGTTGTTTAAGGCAGCGGCGAAGTTGATGGGACAGACCTTTCATAAAGGTTAAACTGTAGTGGATATGAACGCGGTTACATGCCCTGCAATGGTGCTTTGTTGTCTAGTCTCTATAATTTTCTTCAAGACATTTATGAAAAAAGTTACAAGAGGTCTGTGTTGTGGTAAATAAATATGCCTATAACTTAAATTGGCGCTATCTTTTTCCAGGTGTCAGATCACATTAACAATACATGTCCACTGACAGAAGTTCCCTGCCCATATAATTGGCTGGGCTGTTTCCTAAAGGTAAGTTTGGTTGTTAACTTAAGACGCAATTTCCCCATACAACATGAGGAAAACGTATTGCACCATAGCAAAAGAAATTGCTTCCTGTCTTACCCGGATCATTACTTAGATCATTGTCTTTTACCGACCTTTAGCAGAATGCTATTCATTTCTTTGCATTAACAAATAAAGGTTTCTTTCTTTGTTTTTCATACTGACCATTGTTAGGAGTGAAAGTGATGCATAAATGCATTGTCTGAATTAGCTCGCGCTATGAAAAAAACATGAAGGTAGAGTCCTTATTTTACGTCGGCAGCTCGAATTAGTCATCTGACCAACAAACATGAGTGCGCTCGTTTTAACACCCCCCCCCCCCCCCTGTCTCTCTCGCTCTCTCTCCCTCCCTCCCTCTTTCTCTCCCTCTCTCTCTCTCCCTCTAAGGTGACATCAAAACACAAAATACTCATAACACACAGTTTGTAATCGGTTGAAAGTGGATACACTGCAAATTATAGTAGTTGCTAGAAATATATATCTACGTGTTGTAACTGTTCATCAGTAGGATGCCTAAAATGTGTGAAATTCCACAACTGGTTTCGGCTCCATTAACTCCTATACGAATTACACAAGATTTTAGGAGGAGCCACCCACTATGTGAGCACAGTCACGGACAAAACATATAAGGGAGGAAAATAACGCAAAGTAAAATTATCACGTTATTCAACGAACTATATGTACACTTCAATAGTATCCTGATCAGCTTCTCAGTTCTGCAGTTCTGCGTCTCATCTCATCATGATCGATTGTCGTCAGTTGAAGTGTCCAGGTGGTTTGCTTTGTATCTGAGGACAATTTCTATTTTATAAGCTCCAAGGGGCTTATATTCGGAGCGGTTATTTAACGGAGGGATTTTCCATTACGAGTTTGTGGGGGGGGGGATAGAGAATGGTTATTGCCGGAATTTTAAGGTATTCACCACTATCAAATTTAGAATTACAGCTTCCTCGATGTTTTATGAGACCATAACCAATAAGTAACATCTGGCTCATTTAAGAAATATGATTGGGTAAAAGAAAAATTACAAAACAGACCTGTTTAATTTCAGATTCAGAGAGAAGTGCTTGAATCACACCTTGAAGGCGAGATAAGATATCATCTCCATTTGAATAGCTGCAAATTAAACGACACCAAGGATGAAGTAAGAAACCTTCAACTTGAAGTTGCAGAAAGAGCAAAGGCCGTCCAAAATCAATTTGAGGAAAGAGTGCAGGCCCTCCAGAATCATTTTGACGACAGATTACAGGCGCTCCAAAATCGCTTTGAAGAGAGCGCTCAGGCCCTAGAAAATCATTTTGAAGAGAGGGTAAAATTGCTAACCGTCACTAGCGATAAATTGAGGAAGAATCTGAGTTTCACTAGAATTATTTGTGCTGTTGCTGTTGTCATTCTTGCTGCGTTAAGTGGAATGTCAAACCAAAAAAGTGCCGTTAGCGATTCAATAACAACAATGGACCGATCTTTTGACACGCAAAGCAAGCTCGAAATGAAAGTGAATGAAGTCGAGAAAGGTCTGAAAAGTGAACTGATTGATTTGCGAAGTCAGCTGGGGAAGAAAGTGGATGAAGCTAACAAATATTTTGAAGCTGTGTCGCTTAATATGTCAAACCATGAAAGTGCCGTTAGTGATTTTAAAACAAAAATGGAGAGTAGAGTAACTGATGTGCAAACTAAAGTGGAGGGGAAATTAGATGAAGCTCACAAACATCTTAAAGAAAAGGTGAGTTAAAGTATATATATATTAAACCAGCTGGGAAACATATAAATGATTTAGTCATGCACAATGTTGTGGTTTTCATTTGCCATGTTCCGATACTTGGAATTTGGAAGCAAACTGAAGAAAACGTACTCTCAGGGCAGGGGAGAGAACTATCGAAAAATGTCTTAAGTAAGTTCAAAAACAAAAAAATTGATTTCATGACAATTGAAATTCTACCTTGTCACCGCAATGAGAGATCAAATCAGTGAGATAGCATTGCACCTGCACAACCTCATTGCGTTGTTCATCAAGTTGTTGTCTTCTTCGCGAATGATACGTGGAAACTTCCAAGGACGAAAATGCCGAATAATAGACAAAAACAAAGGGACGAATCCCCTGAATTGGCAAGGAAAGGAAGAAGTGCCACGGAAAATTCAGGAGCTACTGTTAGTAGAGGGAAAAAGCACCAGGAAAGAACACGGCGATGGAACTTTAGTTCCCACCTCTGACGTATCGTGCTCTAATGAGCAGTTTCTGTCCTTTCGAACGTCGCTCGAGAGCGGCTTCACCACAATGGGTAAATCACTTACTAAAGCGATTAAAGATTGCTTTACTACTGTGGTAGATAAATTAAATCCTCGAGACCAGGACGGATACAACATTGTCATCAAAGAAGTACTGATCCAACCAGCAATTCCATTGTGGAACAAGCGTTACAGTTTCTCACTTTTTAAGAAAGGTTTAGGTTTCAGTGCCCTGAACGCTGCAGAAACTGCACTTTCATGCATTATTCAACCAAAAACTATGGTAGGCTTAGATAACTTTTTCAGGGACCAGGTATTTGAAAAGTTTGCTAATCCATCGGAAAGTATAAAAATCAGTAATGAAACATTTGGAATCCTGTGCCTGTAGACTGACATGACAAAGCAAAATTGAATACGGGTCAACTTCAGAGGTTAAATGATTCTAAGTATATGTTTGTGGAAATAGAATTCAAAATGTTAGCTTTATCATCATGGACTACTGTCTCAAAGAGCTGCATAGCACCATGTTGTTTTAAGTTAACGTCAACAAAATGAGAATTGGGATTTGTTCTTTCGTATTATTATATCAAATACTATGTTGCGTGCTTATGCAACAGTACTTTAGCTGTTATATGTTATTTTTCAGGCCGATCTCTTAACACTCGACAGCGGTAACCATAAACAGAAAATCAGAGAGTTTGAAACTAAAATCCAGGTAAGAGGAAAATATCAAAAATAACTAAATTTCAGCCTCACGTAGTCATGCACGTTCATGATCTGAGTTGATAAAGTCAATTTACCTCCTTAATCCTTTAAGCCCAAATACCCTCATACAAAATCTCGGGAGTAACTTATTTCTAATAGTTGTGGGTCGTGGATACAAAGTCGTGGGTCATGGGTGGCGTAGACCCACGAAAAAAAAGAAGAGGTCCCTCAGGGTAGTGGGGTTACACCAGGAGCCGGCTCCTGGGTTACCCCAAATGTTTCTGGGTAGGGGTTGAGGTAGGATAGCTACTAGTACCTGGACATCCCAAGTATCGAGTTAAAAAGGGAAAGCGGCATTTATAGAAAAGTTATATTAGTATACCGAGTGGCAGAAGGAACAATTCTTGTACCGGCCTCTTATTATTAACATCAACGAAAAATATCTGTTTAGAAGAAGGAGAAATCTAACACCAGAGAGCTCAGAAAAAATTCCGTGCCCTGGGTGGGAATCGAACTGACGACCCTTTGAGTTCTAATTCGGATGCTTTAACAACAGATCTGCTGCAGGCTTTATGGAGAGCGGGGTTAAAATTTAATTATTACTACACCAGTCATAAAGGAACAGTATCGGGGACTTTAGTCGCTAGACATTTTCACGAGGAAAATGCAGGAGAAGTGCGTGTGTGTGTGTTTCGAACGGCCCGAAATTCCTATCTACCATCAGTAACTTTTCTAATGGTCTGCCCCCTAAGAATGGTACTTTTCATTTACGTACGCCCATTACGAAATACGTGATTGGAAAAAACAAAACCCTGGTCTGGTGTCGGTGAAACAAATCGATATTTGCATGATCTTGCGGGCGTTCTCTCAAAATTGTAAGTGTGTTTCGATTGGTGTAGTTAGATCGATTGGAGAATATGGCTTCCTTTTTGGTCTCGTGAGTGCGAGAGGTGGGGGCGGGGATTCAGAATCCCATCTCTTATGACCCCCACTGTTTCTGACAGGCTGCCTGCTTTGTGTGGCTCGGCCTCGTTCTCAGTCGTTCTCAAGCTCATCCAAATGGCATCAACTCATCCAAATGGATCTTTGAGAGTCAGAATACAATAGGCTGTTATATAAACTTTGTGTGGTTAGTTTTTGTGTAAAAAATTGTTCCGTGCCACTTTAAATTCGTCGCCTGCCTCGTCCGGTTAATTTAATTGGCGAAAGTTGAGTCTAGCAAAATACAGTAAAAGTAAGTACGATCACAGTTAAAACTTTTCGTCTCATATAAGGGAATCTAAGACAGCAATGGATACTGAATTCCAAGCCGAGGATTTCGGATTCCAGTCGTTGTCAGTGGAACTTGGATTCTCAATTCCAATCGTTATTGAAATTCCAGATTCTATGAGCTGTATTCTGGATTCTAAAACCTAGGATTCCCGTTTCCACAAGCAAAATTTCCCCAGATTCCAGAATTGGGAATTCCTTACATGGGGCGAAACTTTTTTGTTACTTTAACGAATGCAGGCCCTGACCAACAGACTGAATAGCGCCAGAGTGCACTGTGATGAGAGGGTTTTACATTAACTACTTAGACCGACAGAACGTTGAGTGGCCAAATGGCTTTTTCTTGGCCATATTCCGACTTGTGAAGGCGGGAAGCTATGGTTCAGCCAGCGTTCGCTATCTTTACCGCTGCTGCAAGTTCATTCTTTAAGTTAAGGGCGCGGCCCAAACTTGTCCAGTCAACAGTTGCCGTCAACTGAAAGTGATGACAAGGAGAACAAAACGAACTAAAATAAAATGAGACAACCTCTTCAACCACTTTGTTTTAGTTTATTCGTCATCATCGCTGGACATGACGCACCAAATGTTTAACATAATAGTTAGGTTTCCATTTTCAAACAGCGGTCACAATTTAATTTGTTTAGAGCTGCGCGGCCAGTTTCAACTTGTCGCTTGGCAGGTAAAGCTTGTTAAAATTAAACATGATTCAGGATTTGAGGTCCTCTTTTGATAGGTCCAAAGTGGTATTGATCCCGGTATTTTACCTGTGATCCCTGATCCCACCTCTTTAATCCCTGATCCCACATACCTTATTACTACCTTGCTTTTAACGTGATTGAAAATCATGGGTATGCTTCCCAAGTTACTGTATCAAACTTACACCTTACCGCGCAAAATTATCAACCTTTCTTGGACTTCATTTTTTTACGTCGGCAGTTGTAACAGCGCAGTGTCCTACAAACTAGAAATTCGCATCACCTGCCGCTTCACTTTTAAGCAAATTTGACATAACATCTCCAACGTCTACCTGCGAACACTACATCCTGGTGTGCAAAGCGACTTCGTCGGACGACTGACACAAAAATTTTTGTGTTGGAAGGTCCAAAAGAGTTTCCAAAGCTGCTCTGCCTTAACGTTAAAAATGCTTTTTCCTCTGAGTTTCTCATCCCTTTCTGGTAAAACTACTGTTTGACTACTCCACATGAATAATTAATTTCCATATTTCACAATTCAACCTCAAACAATTGGAGGCTCTTGGGAAAAAGCATTTCCAGGGAATTAATTTAAAGCTTTTTAAAAGCTTTTTGATTTAGGAAACCTTACAAGTGAAAAATAAGCATGTTATTTACCTGCCCCTTGGGGGTTTCTGATATATTTACCTGGTTTCGCTCCGAGGGCGCAGCCCGTCAGGGGTGGCACCAGCTGAATTTATCACATACCGCCTCGTTGCAAGTAAATTGCCATTCAAAGGGACTAAATTTCAAAGAACTGAGGTAATCATTTTCTCTTTTGATGTTATTTACGTCCATAACGGGCCTTGAATCTGACGTTTTACTCGTTAAAGCTTCCACAGAACAAACATACTGTTTTCCCCGGAGTCAGTTTCGTCATTACATTTTTACTCAGAGAGCCTTTAATTAAAAAGATGCTTCATATTTTTCGGGTAATCAAATAAAAACTGAATGGCATCACCTTTTTTCTTTTTCGTCGTTAATCCGCTTAACGAGAACATTTTTCATGGACCTTAAAAATCCAAAGTGAAGAAAATTATGAACTATAGTATCCAAATAGTAACAGAAAGACTATCAAAGCACATTAAAACGTTTTTTCACTTTAATTAACTAATGCAGGCCTTGGCAACCAGACTGGATAGCGCCAGAGTCTACTGTGATGAGAAGGCGACAGATTATGGGAACGTATACTTCGCAAACGTCGTTGGTTCCATCATGTCGCTGAACTTACATAAAGTTGAGTGCCCACAAGGTTTTTTCTTGGCCAAATTTGAAATCGACAAGGAAAAAGTAAATGAGGGGATGGCTTACAATGTTCCTCTGTCACCCAGAACTCGCTATCTTTATCGCTGCTGCAAGTTTATTCTGTAATGGAGTGACTCAGAAATGCCCAGTGAACATTTGATTTCAATCTAAATACTAGAAGTGTAAAAAGACAATCACATGGTTGGATATGATGGTTTTTACTCTGTAATAAACTCGTACCCTATTAGTTATGCAGTGTCATTTATCCTCGAGTATTGTGGTGTAATCTATGTTTTCTTTGCCCTAGATGTCATACACTGATAATCTTCGCACTCATACGTCTTCCAATTTTAAGCCTAATAGAAGACTGGGCAAACAAAAGACTGGCCAGTTAATCAGCGACAAAATTCTGATCCTCGGTGACTTTTATACCCGAGCTAGATTTTTCTCTTGTAGCACGAGAGGGTAGAAACGGCAAACGCGACATCGGGAAATGCGACAGTAATGGTCTTTTATTTCCCCAAACTTGAAGCGCACATGACTTAAAAGGGACACAGTCAACTAATTACATGCGCATTCGATGCCATTTCTTAGCTGATATGCATATCCCAAGATACGTGGGTGAAACAAAAAATGAGAAGCACATCCTCTGGAATATCTAAGTAAAAATTATGGAGTCAAAGTAATTTCAAGTCAAAACCTGGATGCATCCTAGGTCCAAACACTGATATATGTTAGAGATGTTATCTATAATAAAAACTGAAAGAGCCGTTGACCAAAAGCTGTGATGAAGAATGCTAGACAGATCTCCGATTAGTTATCCTAGACCTCAAGCTCCACATTAAGCCCAAAGGAACACACCAAGGAAAGAAACCTCCTAAGAGATAGAACACTTCAAGACTAAAACAGGATGAAATCTTTGCTGCGGCACTTCAGCAGCTAAGGCCAGTCTCTAAGAAACAACAGAACTGGTTTGATAAATAAGAACAGGAAGTCAGCAAACTCTCAGAGCAGAAAAGTAAGTACTTTCTTGTCTAACAACTTAATCAAACATCATTCTCTAAAAAGTTACCCTTCATTAATCAAGACCATCTCAGATCAGCAACTGGCTCAAGAGAGACAAAGCCAGTCCACCAGAATGCATAGATGAATGCCTCGAGACGATTCTACGATGATGGCTCAAACTTAATCAATTCATGAAAGCAGCAAAAAAAGATCCTTGATAAATGGGTTGAACACATTAAACAAGTGTAAAACGGTCCGTCATCAATTGCCCAAGCTGCTATTGACCTCCTAGCACAAGTTCCAATAAATGAAGCTCTTGATAATTCTCCCGGCAAAGATCCAGGCTGAGATGCCATTTCAGCAGAGATGTAAAGAGCAAGTGGTGAAATACTCTCCCAAAGTGTTCTGAAAAGTTCACGCCAATTGGTTTATTGAAAGGTATTCTCCCTCAAGACTTCAAGGACGCTAGTCTTGCAAACTTGTATAAACGGAAAGGAAACAGGCATTCCCGCGACAACCACAGAGGAACAGCACTACTATCGATTGCAAGCAAAATCCTTGCCAAATTCATGCTCAGTTGACTCATCAATCAACATGCGACAATCTTGGATGAAAATTTTACACTTTCGTACCACAGAACGCCTATCCTGTGGATTTGGTACCACTATGGCGCCTCCCCTCCCACCACCCTAGTCAGTGTTGTTCAGACGGGCTCAGAAATGATCCATCAACGTTTTTCTAGAGGGACAGGGGAGTATTTGCAGTTGCCAGTACTTTCAGAAGCTTTATCTTCAAACTAGACAAAGCAACGTGCATTTTTCTCAATATTTTTTTTCCAAAATTAAATACAGAACAAGGTCTCTTGCCCGAACGCCAGTGTGGCTTTCTCGCCAACGGAGGAACAGTCTATATGATATTTGCGGCTGGTCATGGATCAATCGGTACCAACACCACAACCTCTCTACCACACTGACCAAGGCGTTCTACACGTTTAGTCGTGATGGCCTACGCAAAATTATGTCAAAGTTTGGATGTCCCCCACTTTCATCACCACTGTTAGGCCGCAGTTTCTAGACGGAATGATGGCTCACGTGCTTGACGTGGACTGACTACCGTACCATTCGGTATAAGTATTACAGAATAAAAATATGTACGTACAAACCGGGTGGGACTGAAAGGACGGCTTTGGACAAAAGTAGGGGAAATACAGAGAAAGATTACGATAATGTGACTAGCCCTGAAATATGACCGATACATTTAGTTTAAAGCTTATGACTGTAATTTACAATGCTTTCTTTAACTCAGCTGTCGGTAGCTTTGCCCAGGCTGGTGTACAAGATAAAGTCATGTACCAACCAGTTCCAGGAATGTATTTTTGTAAACGGCACTAAACTCCAAGCAGCTGACATTAGTTCATCTATCTTGACAATACGCTGTCCAGGTATGTTCATATCCATGATCAAGTAAACTGTACAATTGCGCATCTCATCAACAACAAAACTCAAAGTCTACAAAGCTGTCATAATGACCACTTTTCTGAATGCCTGCGAAACATATAGACAGTGAAATGCAGACACGCACACAAATTGAACAAGCCTCCGCGAAAATTCTTCACATCAGCCTGTGAATTGTTCAAACGGTGGCCTGCGTACCAGGCGCTTGGAAGTAGTGGGCACAAGAAAAAACGGGCGCGCGAGAAGGAGACACGCGAGGGGAGAGGAAGCTCCCTCACCCCTTGCGTGTCTCCCTCGCGCGCGCCCGTTCTCTCTTTCGCCCGCTACTTCCAAGCGCCTGCTACGCAGGCTATTCAAAAGGAGGATACGTTATCCACCGGATGAATATGGCTCTATCCGCTGGATAGCTTGATTGGCTTCCCTTTTTGTGTCACAGTAGTCTTGACATAGAGTCTGAGAGCTGGGAGAGAAATATCTCAAGACCGCTCAATGTAGCTGTTAAGAAAGCAGAAGAAATTCGTATGGAGGCAGCCAGGAAAAATCGTCTTATACGTAACTACCACTCAGTCAGTACCTCATCAACCTCTGCTAGCCACATATGCTCCACACGTAGCAACACCTTTCTTGCTAGGACTGGTCTCCTCTGTTATTTCCGATCTCACACAGAACGTAACCAACGGCATCAAGGGAGAAGTCATGCTCATTTTTGGTATCAATGGACGAGCAACAATCCAAGGTGTCACGCAGCGATTAAACGGCAATCCGAAAAAGGGGTAGCAAAGGGCAAAGCGAAGAGGGGTAGATAATTAAGTCACGTACACTTTAAAAACGATAATCAATGTAAATGTGTCATGTGAAACACAAACAAAATAAATGTCAGTGAAAATAACAAATGTCCCTCCGGTATGAAAGGAAGCAATCGGCTCGAACCTCCCCTAAGCGAACACTTATATAATTAGGAAGAGACGATTCGGACGTGGTCGCAAATTAAGTGTAAAACTTCTCTGACCATGCCGGACAGTTGTCGGATCTTAAGTCTGTTTCATGCAGAAAACAAGTGATAATAACAAGAAATTAAAAAGATCATCGCATACGGGCCTCCGTGGCTGAAAGAGGGAAGAATAAATTGCACAAAGCCATTTCAAAGCTTTTTTATAGAGGACCGTGAAAGAAAATTGTTTCAAAGGTGATCCGCAGAAGAACGGTTTTTTATTAACGAGAAATATTAGCAAAGTCGACCTATCTGGACTCGTGAACTGATACGTACATATCCCCAGCATAGTCGTAATCCGCCTGTAGAAAAGAACTGTGTATTGATTGGTTTTTAATAATTTTAGTGATGGGAAGATATAAAGAATGTATACGGTCTTTTTTATAATTTTTATTATGTTCCTTTTATGAATGTATCGTTATCGTCTATGTGTCCCCCATTAGCTGTAAAGCTAAACACATTGATACGTAAATAGAGTTTTTATTCATTCAGTCATTTTTTCATTCACTCGTGGTCATTCGTGGTGATTCGTCCTCACTCGTAGTCACTCGTAGTCTCTCGTGGTCACTCTTGTGTACTGTTAGACACAATAGAGCGTTTTCACTCACGTGGCCAGCATCTATGCAAATTTATTGGAACAAAAGAAAGCGTTTGCATAAGAAAAGAACTCCCACAGGATTGTCTTGGTACACTAACATGGCCGCCGTTTCATTGTTTTGGACCACCAATATGGCCGCCGTGATGTCATGTGAAAAGGCTCTATACCATTTTATGCCAACAAAAATCGAATCCGGATTGGATGTTGGAGATTTCATGCTACGTGACAGTATAGTGACACCGATGTTTAAATTAGGTCTGGATTTTATGAGACAATAAACACTAGCTGCAAGAATTGATTGACCTTTTTCTGATTATCGCCTAGTAAAAACCAATCATATCTAATGTATACTAGTATGAAATCGAGCGTTCTTTTCCATGTTTTTGAGAGTAGCTCTTGCACAACTGCTGTAAAGAGTGAATACAAGTGAGCCAAGTGATTAAATACAATCGACTCTACTGATTGTCTTAGTGTAGTTTTCGTTGATCTGAAAACCCTAATGAACGGGGCAAAGTTCTCAACATGGACTAAGGCCTTGCAAAAACAAGAAATCGAGACTCCGACACTTCCAGGCGGTTGCCGAAAACATATCGAGACTTCAAGACATAGAAATCGACGGAAATTTTGCAAGAATCTAATTTGTGGAAAAAACATTCGCCACCACCGTAGTTTCAAGATAAAAAGATGGGAAATGCAAAAGTCTTATGTATAATTTCTTGGAAATATTATTCGTTTCCTTTAGTTATTTACTTATTTGCCACACAGCTTCAGTAAAAAGATAGCTTATGCGCCGGCCTCTTTTATCATTTATAAAACCAAACAGTGAAATCTATTACCAGTCAATTCGAGAGTACTAGATAATATTCAAGAGTTAATTGATGCAAATTGTTTTGAACATTGGACGTGTCGGAATTCACGTGGTTCTATTCTTGTTGAAAATGAAATTTTGCAAAGCACCCCATTTTGCGCAGCTATCGATAGTCAAAACCGCAAAATTGGTTTAATTTGTTTCATAAAATTTTCGCGACGGTTTTTAATTTGGACATCGAGAAAATTTGAACTCGCCGAATAAGTAAGG